AAAAACCAAAATTTCTCGTATATCAGGTTTTAACAATAATAGGAAGTAATAACATTTATGTCTTCATAAATTTCTCCGTTGAAATACTTATATTTTGATGCAGTTTGATAATTCTTATTTAAATTTCAAAATGAGCCGAATCAGAGAAACACCTACTTGATTATAAACTGGGAACTGATAAAAGTAGATAAATATCTGTATCGAATTATGGCAATCTGACAATCGGAGCTCTACCTCTCCATAATTTTCCTCCAGAGAGGTTCATTACGGTACCTCTATCATTCATGATCAAATGGGTGTTTTTCTTGCTCTCCAACACGGTAGCGGTAAATTTTATTGAGAGACTAGTAACAACTCCTTACTTCAGAGAAAGTCCCGCAGTCTGGCAAGCGAGGTTGCCAAGAAGCGCGGGAAAGTTGGATTCTCCAAGAAGTTAGCGGTGAGAAAATTTGCCGATGTTTACGTCCGCTTTTAAAGTTTACTGTCTGCACCCTTGATCTAATTTTAATTCACCAGAATACTTTAGTTTAACATATAATATGAATACATCAGATATTTTATAAAAATAGTTAACAATGATTTTGGAAAAAATTATCCGTGATTGGCAAACGGCGATATCATTCACCATTTTGCTTTAAAGAGGAAGCCGTTTATGTTTTTAAAATCAGTCAGTCTTTCATTATACAGAATATGTGGAACGATACGCGTACTGAGTTCGCAAATATGCGTTTCGGGTTTGTCTATCTCTTTGTTCTACCCATGATTTGGTAAAGAATTTCAAATTTGCATGTTTCTCAAAGACCAAAGGTTGCACATTACCAGCGCAATATTTTTTAAAAGCATGTGCATAAATCAATCAGATAGGCTTCTGCGCCGTTCACTTTTGGACGCAAAGCTACAATTAGACGATATCATTAAAGTATGTCGAGTAATGAATATGGTAATTACAGTGTACTCTTGTATTCAAAGACAAAATAACTACTATAATAATTAGAAAAAAGAAACAATATGCGGAAGCTTTGAAAAACAGATAGGTCTGTCGAATTCGATTGTGATTCTTAAGATTAATGGTTGCTCTGGACTAACACAGCAAACTAACCGCTAAAAAATCAATTGAACACTGTAACTGATGAACGATTTAAGATATTTTTGCAAAGAAAAGCACGCAATCGTGGGCTAAAATCGTGATTCTTTCGAAGCAGCACTTATTTAGTTCGATGGCATAAAACATCAGCATAAATTCAAACTGTTTCCTCCGAATTTTTATCTCAAGAAATGTATTTATTTAGTTTTTTGCTAAAGCTTTAAAGTAAACGTCTTCTCACACCGTTGAATTTACAAACCATTCTTTGTCTTAAATGACAATATCAAATAAAACAACTCCCTTTGCGTCGAGAATGAATCAAGAACACCGACCAAAACATATTGAATCCCAGGTCACATTTACTTTTGAACGAAAAACCCAGGAACCATAACTGTGCCCGACTTTTTTTAACTGAAGAATAATTTTGTCTTAAAATATCTTCATCAAATTTTTTATAAGGCTTCAAATTTGTTTTAAGAAAAGATAACCAAGCGCTAGGATAAAGATTTGTCTTCTCTTTGAACGATGGCAACAGTTTGTCATACAAGCACATTGGGGCAATTAACAAACTCACAACAGTTCCATCTGTTTGCTTCTTAGAAACTTGAAACAAAATGACGATTATTTTTAGTGCTTCAGAAACAAGAAGTGCAACAATGGTTAAAGTAATGAAAGGCACTCGAGTAAGTAAAATATTAAAGAGATTTCAACTCAAACACGTGCATTTTAAGCGTGTTGTTTTTTTTTCCCATACACTTGAATCAAAAATCAAAATATAATTCAACGGGCGAATTTTTTTCCCCATTAGACGTACCAATTTCCTTACATTTCACTCTCCCGTAACAGGCAAGAGTGGTTTTAGTGATTTCTACTTTTTTCAAATAAAAAGAACGCTCTTTCCGTAACAGCTCATTAACTCGAAGTAAATGGAAACATTTTAAAAGATTCGATTTCGTCAATTTTGCGCGGCAAATTATCTGATCGTTTCATTTGATCGAAATTTGTTATTAAAAGTTAAAATAATCGAAAGCAAGGGAGACTGCCTATGCTAATGATTATAATACCACTCCTTGTACTTTACACATTAACGTACATCAATTGCTGATACAAATACTCGAAAAACATCTGTCTGCCTTTCGGGAATACATAAGCCGGGAATGATTGTATAAGATTGCGACACAATTTGGACTTTACATCTCTTCTCGAAAGATCTGTTTAAAAAAACTCGTTTCTCTCGATACTAGTTACGACAGCGACGACTTTTATTTTTCGAGTATCGAGAGAAATGATTGCCTAGTGTTTGAAACACATCGTGTAAAAGGAGGACTTTTTTGACATTTAACTCCTAAATCAGAGCTCATTGACAAGCGCTTGAGGCTACAATGAGTTTGGAATATGACATTAAATAGCGGTGGACGCTGATTACAATCGCTGACTCCACTGTTCCCATACAATGGGGCAATCTCGTTCAGTTTATTATCTTTTATACATTGTTTACTCGCCAAGCGCTGTCCTTTTGTTCAGCTTGGTAATCTCAAAACATCTCCTTGCGAGAGTTCCCAATCGAGCTGAATAAAGGCCATCGAGAATTTAACAAAGCATCCAAAAGGATAATCTCGATGAATTTGAAGCAAAATAGCGTTCGTTTCACAGTTTCGCCCGGAAATAACGGATGGCATAAATTACTATCACCCAGAGACGAAGAATAATACAGTATTCATATTTGTCGCGTCCAGCCTCTGTCATATTAACTCAATTCAAAGAAATGTGCTCTTCTGTGAGGACGTGGACGATTCCTTGCTGTGCCGAACAAAATTAAATTATGGCACAAAACAAGGTATTTCAAACTTTTAATACCAATAACCCAACCGAGCAAAACGTGTTTCGCAAAACGTTTGTCATTCTGTAGACTCCAAATCAACATTTGCTTTTTTCTCTTTTTTTCTCTCGATCGTGTCTTTGTTAAATTTGTCACCCATGACGTCAGAAAGGTTGGTGTGTTTTCGTTCGGTCGTATGCGAATCAAAACGCTGACTTCATTCTCGCTGTCAAAGTAATAAAATCTCTTTGATGATGAACGCTTGAGTTTTGTTTTAACGTTCGCGATATCTCAACAACTAATTCGTGTTTACGCAGTCACTCAAAGCCCGAGAAGTTTGTTTGCGGTTTGAAACCCAGCCGAGGTTGCTCGGGGAAGTTGTTCTTTATCTCAAGTACGATTGTCATTGTTCGATTCGTCATTCTCTTCGATACAAACGTGGAAAAGAAAAGGGAAGCAAGGAAGATTCTCAATTAAAAGAACTGATTAAATTCCAAAAAAATTGGTTTTTCTAAGCTCCGAACAATGGCTCAAAGCGGCAGGTTTATCTCGTCATTATTATTCCATTTCTTTATTTAGATATCGCGAATTCGTATTTACTGCCTTTTAAACGCAAATCAAGCGATATGAAATTTCGTCGTGTATTGAAAGTTTTTGCATAGTTTTATTAAACGCTGAACTCACACTTAGTTGCAGTCGGCAGAATACTCATCACAATAGAAAAGTGACACAGCTCTGTATCGAAGCATTGTTTCTCATGCTCGCCTGTGATTGGTTCGTTGGCCGCCTAAAAGTGGCTATAAGTCGACCGACTTGTGAGAAACGTGTGCCAACTGTGTATTAGCTGGAGCGAAAAACCTTTCAGGAGCATCAAGTCTCCCCAAGGAAAATCTTAATCGTTAACAGATGGAGAGCCCGATCACTTTTCGTGAGAGTCAGTCGCAGTTGACAAGTCAATTTCATTTCACCTCCGCGGACCATCACGACAAGAACTTAAAGCGAAAGCGAAGGAGGAAATCCCCAACACAGCAAATCGCACAACGACATGCAGCAAACTTACGCGAACGAAAACGAATGCAAAGCATAAACGAGGCATTCGAGGGCCTTCGACATCACATCCCCACGCTACCTTACGAAAAAAGACTATCGAAAGTCGACACTTTACGACTAGCTATCGGATACATTGGTTTTCTTACAGAAATGATTAGTTCGGATATGAGTCACAGTCAAGCGCTACAACCAACATCTTCGGAACAACCCAGAAAAGTTATGATATGCCATAGAGGTTTCGGTGAGTACATGTTGGAGTGAATTTTTCGCTTTGGTAACTGAAGTTTATACCCATCTGGGAAGTTCTCACGTACATATAGGGCTGATGGCTAATAATCAAAATGACGTTTTGGTCATTTTTTTGCATTTTATAAACTGCAAATTAAAGGAAATCTCGCCAAAATCGGTTGGAAAATCCTTAAAGAGCAAACAAGAGCCACCCTTACCATTCCATATAACACACGAGGCAAAATCCACATATCATTTATACATTTCAACTCTTTTATTGATATTCTTCGTGTTTGCTCACTTTTTTTTCCTCGCCTTGTTTTCCCTTTTGGCAGGTACTCAAGAGTACGGTCTTCCGCCATTAACAGGCCATTCACTGTCGTGGACAGATTCGAAGAAACCCAAACTATCGTCCAGTATTATGAAAGCGAAAATTTGGACCCCTGAAGATCCTAGAATACATAACAATGCAATGTATCCTTCGCCTTTGTGAGAAAAGGAAAATACTGTTAATTACACTTTATGCCACGGCAAGGAAAATATTGAACTTTAATTGCAATTTAGCAGAGGTAGAATTATTTTTTAATGATTAGCTTGTGAGGATGACATTGTAATATATCTGGAAGCCCGAACGAAGTTTTCATATAAAGAGAGATTTTTTTTTTCATTTGTGGGTTAGTGTAGTGTGTCGTGTTTGCATTTTTCTCTGAGGGAAGAATTCTAATGACTGGTTTTTCTGTAAAACGTTTTTGTAAATTTTTTCTCTCTCCAAGCTAAACACATCTAGAATTTGTACATTAAAAAGCGTTGAATTCCACATTACTTGTGTGATATTTATTTTTGGGAAAGTTAAGTGGCATAATCTCTTTGATAAGTAAATTTATGAAAAATATAATTCGTCATGGGGATAAACTGTACGGCCTTTTGTTACATTTGAATTTAACAAAAGAGTGAATGTGGTCTCACTGCGCGGGAGACTTAATTTACATAAAACTGCTCGACTTTTCGTAGCTCGGTATTATTGGCAAATTAAAGATTAATGAGCTGCGCAAAATATAATCGCTCTGAAAAAAGAACCGGATCATGTTTGCTTCCTCTCTCCTCAACGAAGGCTCAAACTTCAGGGCGTTTGTCTTGTGTCGTGGAATAATATAACTAACGGGGCTTTTGACTTTACCGTGTGTGCTCCTTGTGTCATAAAGAACCCTATCAGATTTCTAAAGACTCGTATAGAATGGTTGAGTAATCGTGTTTCCCAGGAGGTCTTTTGGACTGTGCAGACCTCACGGCACCATCAGACGAAACAAGGAGCCTCATTTGTCGTGTTTCCTAAGAGAAAACGTGGGTTTACACCAATGAGCTCTTGATCTTATCGATCAAGGCTGCCCTCTTTGCACGTGCGGGCGTGTTTGCCCTTCCAAAGGCTCGACCGTAGAACATTTGTGCAATGTAATAGCTTAGGGGTGTCACACCCCTCTGAATGTTGAGCAACCGAGCGTTAAGGGGCTTTGTTCTATGCTCCTCACTCACATAAGCATTCCAAAGTGGGATGGGCTGGGGATGGGTTTTGGAAGCCCTTGCACGAGACCAATTTTCAGGTAACAGGTAGATAAATGCTGTAAACACTGGCCACGAACGCAAGGCATGACATTTTATTAAACAACCTGCGCTAGACAAACGAGATTTTAATCCGTTGGTGTGAATATCGACCCCAAGTCTTGATACGCTTATTTGCATGAGCCCCAAACGTGTTATACTCTTTATCAGGGGGATATATTTAAATGATATTGGTACACACGTTCACTTGCATGGATTAAAGCGATAATGGCCGGCGTAATTGCTTGTGTCGGTTCTGGCCTATCAATACAAAATACTGTCTCCGTTGCTGAGACCAAGAAGCATATTCCTATCGCAGCTGCGGGAAAAGTATTGTTAAACAGACAAGAGGCAGCTGTGACGAGCCATTTCCAAGAGCAGCTCCATTTAAAAGAAAGGAGACAGGTATTATGTGTGCACACGTTCGAAGATTTACACAATTGGTAACAACCTGCGAGCTTCTGAATAGCTCTTTTTTTCATTAACACACTGGTCGATATCTACCCTGTGGAGACGAGACGTGATTGGTCGAGAAACGACACATGAGTTTTGTATAGTGCGCCCTGAATTAACCAGACCCTGAGCTATGATCAATTATTTGGCCCTTTCAGAGCTTTGTTTCAATTGTCAACGTCTCCTGGCGCATTCACCAGACGCATGCAATCGATTCAGAGCCAGATCTTGATGGCAGAGGAGACGAGGTAGTGTATATGAAACAGCACTGTGACTATGGTCTCCTGTCATAGCCCCCATTGTCTGCTAGATCGAGCGTGAGTTTCAAGAGCGGACTCTTCTTCCGACTTGTATCCTTTATTAAAGGTGTTACCCACGCCATGCAGTGAATTAGATTTTTCTTTTGTTTGTAGAGATTTAAATAGGAGAAGCAGATGTTTTTTGGGCTTAAAAATAAATCATGAATGTATAATCAAGGAGGATTCGTCGGCCAGAAGTCTCTGGAGGGAGCTGACAGAGATCATTCTCTGCAGAGACCCCCTCAATCCTCTTAGAATCTCCCATCTTCTTCCAGGAACGAAAAAGCAGCAAAAGATGGAATATTTCATTGAAAACAGTGTTTATGATGTGAAATATATTAATTAACGATGGATAGTAGTAGTATTGTTTTGTTGTATGTCAACACATTTGACTGTGACTCGTAAAAGGCTTTTAAAATTTGCCAAAAACACAAGTTACTGAGCACGTTTAGCGCTGGTAATTATGTTAACCAGCGAATTTTCTCAGTTCACAAGTGAATCAAGCCAAAACAAGCTTCCTCTTAGAAATGACAGTATTGGGGTCGGCTCAATGTTATCGAGTGAGCGACCTAAGAAGCAAAAAAATACTGGAGTCACAAAAATGCCGCAAATTTATGCAAAAAAGAGATCTTTTTTCATGTTTTATTCATATTTAGCCCTTGGCGGGAACATCAGTGCCTTGAGAAGTATTTTTTCCCATTTATGAGAGTTTTCTTTCGATATCGAAATTCAACACAGCATAGAAAAGCGGTGTTTAACGTAAAATTTTTCGGGGGTTTTAAGAGAAAGTTCTGCGCATGCGTTATTCAAAAGAAAACGTTCGAATTCACCTACAACTGTTATTGACAATTATGTGAGCGCTATGTTAGTGACAACTAATCGCTTTCTCCAGGTGTGTTTGCTGTTTATCGTCTTCTTAACTATGTTCCCTCGCTTTGAATTCTGCTATCTTCTTGTAACAGGTAAAACGAAAATTGTAGCGGACAATTCTCAGAAAAGTATGAATATTTAATTAACTGTGGGTCTGCAGACTTGGCGTTTCCGCAAACACTCGATGTGACTGTTTGCCGCGGAAGTTCTCGAAATGTAACTTACACGAGAGATTCTATGGGCGTTGGAAATCGGATCGGTAATGTAAATCCCTTAACAAACACTTTTGGTTAGGGTCTGTTAGTGATCTGATCTAAAATTTGAATCAAAACCTCGAATTTGCCATTCATTCATACGAAGCACAGACAACTTACAGGCAATCCTAAGAATTCTGTGAGATATTCACGTCTTTTGTAGTTCAAAGAAAGGAAAACCCCTTCCTAAAGCCGACCGCAATGGGGTTCTTGGTAAGGCGGAATTTCGCTCGTTTTTGCATAAAAATAAACCTAGAGTTTTCCATAAAAGTAATCATTGCTTGTGTTTGTAAAGTTTTTCGCTCAACTTGCAACATTGAAAGGATTTTTGTGGCGAATATCAGTGTAAATTCGAGAATACAGTCATGAGTAATCAGAGGTTCTTACAATTCTCAAAAGTCAATCTTGTTCACTGCACGGATCATGACAGCATTTTGGCCACGTGCTTTAAATTGAAGCTATAAAAAAGCTGTTGTTTTGAATGCTAAAATGCATACAACTTATTTCATTATTCCTAATTCAGAGGCAAAGGTGACTTTTATTCTCCAATCTCTGATTTTTATCAATTAGATTTCTGCCGAAGAATTGATCTTTTGTTGAGGCACAACAGAAAAGCCTGCCAGGTCAATTATTGGCCAGAGCCGTTGAGATAAGTGAGGGATTCGTGTTATATCATTTTCAGCCAATTTTACCGACGACTTTATCGTCAATTCACCATCTAGATGCGCATTACATTTTAAGCTTTTCAAAGTGCTGACAAAATTCACTTAAACAGCTTCTTAACTAATACTGTATATTGTATAGATACCTAAGTGTTACTTGACATCTCGGCACAAAAAAAAACCTATGTCAAAGAAATCAGGTTTCCTGCAGTGATGATGTATAAGTGGTTTTCTTCCTCGTATGTATTTCGCTCCAAACAATAATTAAAACTCTAAGCAAAATTGTTTTTCTTAAATACCCTTACGTTACAATGAGGGCATCGAACTCTCAGATAAGATCCGCCAAAAGCTGACTTCATTTAAATGAAACAAAAGAAAGCACCGCAGTAGATAATATTTCTGGCTCAATTAAAAAAAGGAAAAAAGTCTTTACAAAGCTTGCTTTAATTTAGGCACCTTTTCTTCGCCGAGATGATTAATAATGGATATTGGCGCTTCTCTCAAAGACACACTATTTTAAAATTTCTCGCAGGCAAGATAATTTTTGTGTTTCGAATTTCATAAACCATAGTCTACGATTAAAATTCGTAAAGGTAAAAAACCGTAATTTTGTGAAAATGAAGAAAATGATACCATGCTTAAACTTGTGATAGCTGTAATAAGCTTGTTTAATAACTGCGAAAACCTCACTCGCCTGTCTTGTAATTAGTTTATACTACACGAAGAGGAAAGTATCACTTTGGACAACTAGCAAGTTTCTGATATCCATATAGAATCAACTGAAGGAAAAAAGAGGACGCTGAGGCAAACGAAAGTCTTTTCTTTTTCTTTTTGCGCCACATAACTCTTACTTAAAGTTGTCAAAGCATTTGCGACTAAATTTATTTTCAATTATTAGCGCCTGAAAGAAAAATATTAAACAGAAAGCCAACTTAAAGTCATTAATGTATCTTTCATGTCCGGTAACCAATTTCAAGCCTCCTATTGAAATGGCTTCCGTCATTTTTTTTTTTCTTTTCTGAGTTAAGATCTAGGTCATTTCGCCCAGTTTCGTTTGTATTCTACCTCAGAAAAAAATTTTATGGGTGAGAAAGGATACATTTTAAGGCGATACGTCGTGTCTTGCAGTCCTTTTGTTGGCTCCTGTTAGAAAGCCCAAACAAATACTACTAATATGTTAATGAGATTTTAAATGCGACATACAAAATAAAGACACGATCCCATCCATTATTAACTTCAATTAATGCATTCTTCACTAATAATTGTTTGTTTAGTTTTTCCTACAGCTGCCCCAAAACACTTCGTACCGTGGGAACAGCACATATGGTAAAGATAATTTTTCTCACAAAACAGAATAGCAGCAATTTTAATTTCGCTTCGGCGTGAAATTTTAATTCAAAACACCGCAAAATTAACTTCGCAAAGGCCTCGTTTTTGAGTGTATTTTCTCAAGAAATTAATCATCCAAACTAAAACTGAACTGGGTGAAAGATGAGTTAAAGTTTACTAAAACAGGACTCCTTGAGTGTTTTTGAACGCGAGAAATGTTGACGCGTGCGGCATTGGAGAAATTGTAAAATAACAATGATGACGAACATACCGTCCCGAATATAATTTTTTTGTTTAATTTTACCCGAGCTTCCTGTAATTTTGCGTAAACGGTGGACGGGGAAATGGCAATATATCTAAAATCCAAGGAATTTCGAAAGAAAATAAGTCAGCATTTTGTGGTTTTTGGTGGTTTAGTTTCTGATTTTTTAATGTCATGTGTACTCAATATCAGATTAACAAAAGTATTGTTTTATAATTAACTGAAAAAATTGCATAACTTGTGCTTTCCTAGCGTACCCTTTCGATTTTCTAGCCATAATTTTGGCAAATATTTAAGGCTGAATTTCTTACAGATCTAAAGCTCTTTTTGATGCTATTGTTTCGCCGTGTTTACATCTCTGCTGGACATTTCAAAAAAACCAACAGAAAATTTGTCTTGTAATTAACCCCTTCGATACTTCCACAGTGAAAACTGCCGATTAGTGTTGTCACCTATTTGCATTTTGGTGATTAAAACTCAGTCTTAACTGAAAAGAATCTTCAGATCCCCAGAGATAAATGACAATGTGTCTGATTACTAAACTTACTTCCTATCCGGCCGAAAGCTGTTGTTAATGGCACAAAGATTAAAAATTAATGAGATCTTCTAGGGAAGACGGAAAAAGTAAATCCTTAGATATATCAAAAAAACGATGAAATCAATTTCCTTTTATTTTTGTACTTAAACGACACGAGCGAAATTTGACGCTTTCTTTATCAATTGAACGCTAGGGTAATATCTCTCGCAAACCTTAGGCTTTTGTTTCGCTTTTGTCATTATTTGCCGTCCGTCAATTTGTTAAGTTGCGAATAACTTTAGACGTGTGAACTGTTATCTATATTATGAAACAAGCCGCTTTTATCTCTGAAGTTTTGAATACGTAAAATTTGTCTCTCCGAGTAAAATTTACCCGACTTCAAATGATGTTAACCCTCATTGAATATTTTTGAGCTTTCACGTGGCAAAATAAACAAAAACACTGAGCGAATACTTTGAAAATTACGACGACAGAATTTTACTAAAACTTGCCTTTGGTGCGTAAGTTAATTTTCCAAGGCGATGTTCCCGGCACTATACCTTCTTCCGGGCGTGTTGCAAAACTATATTATCAGAATTGAATTTAACATCTCTTTTCAGCTGTTTGACGCTGAATGTATCATGACAAATTTATTTTCTACTCGAGCGAGGTTTTCATCCTCACCATTGAAGGAGCGAAAATGAAAGGTTTCTCTCTAGGAGACTGTTTCAACCAATTGGAATCTTTTAAGGGAATCTGACTTCAAAATAGTCTACGAAATTTAATTTTTTTTATCACAATATCTTTGCTCTTTGCCCACCAAGGCTTGTTTTTTCAGCTTTCAATTTAAGATTCTGTAAAAACTGAAAAGCGTGGGATGCTAACAATAAGGCGGCTGTTTCATGAAAATCAAATTGACTGATAATAAGTTTTCCTCTAGGAAACGCAATTTTCGATCAGGAATTTTTCAGAGCATATTGAGAGGTCTTTAACTCGGTCATTTGAAATCTTAAAATTTAAACAAGAGGAACCTCGGGGCAAAATTCATGAGTCAAGGTTCAAAATAGTTTTTGAAATGATAAAACAAAAGTACGACTTTTGATATCACTTCTGTATCCAAGAAGTCTCTGGGTTATCTGGGTTACAGCTGGCTTTCCTCGCACACAAGCAAAGTCTTAAGTAGTTTGTGTGAAGCATTTTCACGTTCTCTTTAGTAATTGTTACGAGAGAAGGCGTAAAAAATGAAGAAAAAAAAAGTAAATAGGCTTAAACAAGGAAAAACACATGTGCAATATTGTAGTCATATATAAGTTTCAGTTCAGGATTTCTTTGTGGAATGAAATCGGATTTGAATTTCATAGAAAAAAAATTGAAATGAGCGAGAAAATACGCTTGGCATTGACGAAAAAACTGTTCGAAAATATTCAGGACTACAATTTTTTTGCTGATTCATTTGGGAATGCATTTGCACGCAAAGTTTCTAATGTAAAAAGAAACGTAGAGCTTGCCTTTTCAACTTGGTGAAGTCTCCCGAGCAAATATGACTTGACTATCATAAACCTTTCTCCCTCGAGTAAAAAAAGTGATTCTCAATTTGGGTAACCAGAGAAAAAATACCCCAGTAGCACCGAGAGCACGCAATATCCAAAAATAAATTTCAACATGTGTAAAGATTGAAGAAAAAAATAAACACATCTTGTATACAAACCTTTAAGGTACAAAGCTTTACGCGAGCCTCACGAAAATTGAACGCAAAGCAACGAGTGACTCAAACGTGCGCGACGGTGCCGTCGATCACAAATGAGATTCGCTGGGAATTTGCGCGCTTTTTATTAATCCAACCGTGAGAATTTTAAGCAACAAACTTAAACCGAACATAGTGTAACTTTCTCACGGACTGTTAAAAATTATTATGGAAAATTATTAAAATCCTTTTAAACAAACAACCTACGGATTGCATCTGCTAGGTCTTTAAGCTTTCCTTGATTTGAATGTCCGTCAAGATTTTATTTTTGAGCTTCAAGTTTTATTTCTCAATTTTAAAGTCTTGCTGAGACTGTGGTTTGCAAAATAAAGGGTGTCTAGGAGATTTCTTCTCTTACAGCAAGCCTTATCTTCACGATTACATACTGCATCTTTTAAAAAAATTGAAATTAAAAAATTCACAAGACGCAAATCTCTTCGCGACCAGACTTTATGGGATAAACGACATTAGTTCATTCATCAAGATAAATTGTTTTTTAATTGATTCCTTTTCCTCGGCTTCTTTTGGCAACTTAAAGACTCTCGTAAAATTCGGGATATCTTGGTTGATATACAATTACACATTGCTATTCAAACAAGAGCATGTTGACCTGGTTAAATATTGCAAAGGTTTTTAAAAATCAGCTGAGCAAACTTCAAATGACCCTAACTTTACTATGCCATCATTAAAAAGGAGATAGACATGAATGTATGTTAGATCAAAACATAAAAGTCTTCTCAGCATGAAAATTAGTGGGAAATTTCGAGGTACTTGGAAAAACTTTTGACGATGTGTTTTACATTGCTAACTCAATAATGGTGGCCTGACTTAATTGATTTAAATTTTTTCCTGGTGTGGAAACGTGTCAGTTTGAAGAATTCTCGTCAATAAACAGCAATGTGTGTTTTGCTTAATTAACGTGTGCTGAAATATAAACTTCATTGTTTACTTTTCTTCTGCACGGAACCAACTTGTGGCAAAGACCTCTAGGACAAGTTGTCGAGTCAAAACAGCGAACACGAACACTCTCCGAGATACAAAACAAATCCTACTTTCCTTCTTAACAATTATGGAAAGCGTGAATCTTATAACATGCCCAAAGGTCTCAATTTTGAAACTTCTACATTAGTTCTTAGTTACCATTGAAAGTTGGTGTGTTACTTGAGTTTATAGGACTTTTTGTTATTTCCTTTCTTTAGCGGACACTTTTCGACGTGAACAAGAGCATAATGATTGTTTCGTGAAGCAAAAGCATCTCCAAGACTCCATTAGCACTTGCCACCTGTTTCGTATCAAGTTTCGACACTTAACGACTTTCTCTTACTTGTGAAATTGTCAATTATGCGTCAAAAGAAGTCTATGAATAACTTGAAAGTGCGTTACGATATCAAATATTTGAAAAACTTTCTGTAGTAACCTGATATCTTCTTTTGGATAAGTCGGCTGATATGAGGCAGATTAATCAAAACTCTAGCGCATCATTTTAAATCGTACGTCATCCTAGAAGATATGATTTCTAATTCAGTTCCGAAGTTCCACTGGATACTGGTCCTTCCCGGGTACTCCCTTTCACAAAATGAGGCCCGGCACCCGCGCAACTCATTCAAAAGCACATGATTTTCCTAAATTAAACCATAGAGAAGTAACCTTTTCATTCTCAAGATCTCATTCTGCAATTCTCCTTACTGTCTGCCATAAAACCATTGTGATGTTAGTTTGAAGAATTTGCTGTTGAATCAACTAGTAAACCCTTATAACTTATCTGCTGAATATTGTATTGATATTGTAAGGAGAAACTCTGTCTCGGTCATTCATGCGAGTTAAAGGGTTAAAAAGTGGGCTTATTTCAAGATTTGATGCTTCAAATAACTTTCTTACTCCCTGATGTCCGTCTTGTTCAAAAACACACGTGGTGTCTCTAAGCATACAACACTTTTTCAGACATGGTTCGGTCAGCGGCTGCAAAGTAATTTTTTTCGTCTGGATGTCGGTAGGAAAGGGGAAGGGAGGTTAGGGTAGAGGATGTGTGTGACGTCTCCCCTTTGTGCGGTCGCCCCAAGTTCCGTCGCCCTCCAAACTTTAAAGCTTACGTCAAAATATGTTCAAACCTTTATTTAACTTAGGTCAAAAATTATGGGCGACAGAACTTCACCTGAGGGCGACGGAACTTGGGGTGACTGTGTGAGAAGCTGGGCGACACCACCTGTTACTAGGTTGGATCGCCCCCTTACTGGCATATAGCTTGAGAGACACCTACAGCTCCACTTCAAGCCATGGGAGGGTAGAGGGAAGAGCCATTTGCCATTACCATATAATTGCTGAGGTGGTTGACGAATAAGGAACAGTGCTTGTAGACCGTATTTCATCCATAACTAATGGAACCTTTCATGCAAAGAATACAAAACGACAATGGAACAAAAAGAAGACGCAAATCGAAAGGAAAGAACAGAGAGCGCGATGGAGACTATTTGTAATGTGACCAGGACATATTATTTCTCAGGCCCCTTAGAGGAAGGCTTCTAGGGCCTGGGCCCGACCATGCAGTTCATTTTCCAAGATGGCGGCTCTTTTTGATGGACTGATGTTAAGAATAATTTTTCTTATGTTTTTCATATTTTCGAGATGTTCGATCGTTTACGGCTGGGATTCTGTAGATTTAGAGTTATTCGACCTTGTAGAAGAAATCAAAGATAATTTTTATGACATACTTGGGCTAAAACAGGTTAGTATGACGGAATCTTTCTCGTCGGATAAATTCTTAACG